GCATTATCTTTGTTTGTCAAGTCTTATCTGGGTTCTGGCATCTTCCCAACTGTGTGTGTTTCGTTATCTTTGAAGTCTGCAATTCCTTATACTGCCCTGTCTCGCTAATTGCTACAACGTGGTTTGTGTTGGTTTTTATTTATAATTTATATGCACTTTGGGGTCGGACTGAATTTCTTCCCTTTAAAAACTTTTTTGGGAGAGTTTTCTCACCAACCGATAATAACTGGACATTGGGGGCCAAGTTGGAGGAATTAAAGGGACCTTACCAACTTTTGTGACTTTGTTGCTTTTGTGCCACACATCAGAAGAACTCTCTCACTTAGCAACAGAATTCTGGGCTCAATTGCGGTCATAAATTGAGGACTATCTGTATAAGTAGAAACACGGGATATTCATTAAATAACAAGAGCAGCTTAATAGCTCATAGCCTTCCCTTCTCAGTTTCATCTTCCTGTTTAGAAAATCCTTTGGCACTTGAGGCTGAAATTCCTCCTTTAAAAAATTGCTGCCTTCTGTAATTACATATAATCCTTCTGGTTACATTGTCTTCTGTTCCCTTTTATTGCATTTTGTAATATTTATGTTGTAATTGCTTTAGAACTGATTTATTGCTGGCTTTTCTTGTTGCCATTTCCCTTACGTAACAATGTTTTTCTTGGGATGGATGTACAGCACTGTTTTTACAAGCTGGCTGAGAATTGGAGGTTGGAAGCTTAAGTCAGGTCAGGTCTGGCTAGAATTCAGATGGGGGACTATCTGGAAAATACCAGGGCTAGACAGGTGGTCCTCGACTTACAACAGCTTGTTTAGTGACTAATCAAAGTTACAACGGCATTGAAAAAAGTGACTTACGATCATTTTTCACGGTTACAATCTTTGTAGTGTTGGAAGAAATGTCCTTCTGGGTTCAGTTCCATGTGGGGAAAAAAACACTGGAAACATGGGAAAGATGGTTTAATGGTGGACAGGACCACATGGCCTGGAGCTCCAAAGTGAAAAGGATGATCCCATGCTTCAAGGGGAAGGAAAAGATGGAGGAGGAGGAGGGCTGAAAGTGCCCGGTTTTATACCCTCTGTTGAGATTTGAATTTGAGCATGTGTTCTGATTGGTTGTCAGACTCCCATGTCCTACCAGTTAATGAATATTTCAGCTTCAACCACAACAACACAAGAGCACACAACAGATATAAACTAAATGTAAACCACTCCAAACTCGATTGCAGAAAGTACGTTTTCAGCAACAGAGTAGTCAATGCCTTGTATGCACTACCTGACTCTATTGTAACATCCTCAAACCCTCACTCCTTTACCCTCAAACTAACCGCTATTGACTTCACCCCATTCCTAAGAGGTTTGTAAGAGGCGTGCATAAGCGCACAATCGTGCCTACCATCCCTGTCCTATTGTCCCCAATTATTACTTCCTATTTCTTGTATTTAAACTTATGTTTATTCTTGTTTCTGTTGTATTGTAAGCTTTTGACAAATAATGATGATGATGATGGTGGGGCCATGCAGGGGTAACTATGTAGGCTGTCCTGAGTGCCAGGCTTGGTTGAGCCTTGCTGGATGATGGTGTAATGAAAAGGGCTTCGGGCAATTCCTATTAGAGCTCTACCTGAAGTAAATCTTTGTTATGTAAAATATTCTGGCCCAGGCCTTAACGGCCTACCCATTAACAAAGGTGAGGGTGAGGTTCTGCTTCTGAGTTTCTACTCTTTTTAGGGGAAACATTCTGCCTTTTTAATATTTCCTAGGATATTTCATTTTTCTCGGAGAGGGGTGGGTGCTAACCTCCTACAGTAGCATCCCCATGATCAGGAGATCAAAACTCAGACACTTGGCAACTGTCTCATACTTATGGCTGTTGCTGTGTCCCAAGATCCTGGGATCACCTTTTTTTTTTTTTTGCAATTCTTTCGATAAGCAAAGTCAGTGGGGGAAGTCTGATCCACTTAACAGCCGGGTTACTGACTTACTCACTGCAGTGATTCGTTTAACAATTGCGGCAAGAAAGGTCATAAAATGGGGCAAAACTCACATAACTAATGTCTCAACCTAAATTTTTGAGGCTCAGTTGTGGTTGTAAGGCGAGGACAACCTATACATTATGTTGTTGGAAGAAAAATCCTTCTGGGTTCAGTTCCAAGTGGGGAAAAAGACACTAGAAACATGGTGTTTGGAAGGTTTAATGGTGGACAGGAGGACACCATGGCCTGGAGCTCCAGAGTGAAAAGGAAGGATGATCACTTGCTTCAAGGTGAAGGAAGAGATTAAGAAAGGACTGATATGATGAGAGTGCCTGGGATTTGAATTGGAGCTTGTATTCTGATTGGTCGTCAGACTCCCATGGGGCCATGCAGGGGCAACTCTGTAGGCTGTCCTGAGTTCTAGGCTTGGTTGAGCCTTGCTGGATGATGATGCACTGAAAAGGACTTTTGAGCAATTGCTATAGCTTTAGCTGGAGATCTTTGTTATGTAAAATATTCTGGCCCAGGCCTTAACGGCCCACCCATTAACAAAGGTGGGGGTGAGTTTCTACTTCTGAGGGGAGTTTCTGCTTCTGAGTTTCTACTCTTTTTAGGGGAAATATTCTGCCTTTTTAATATTTCCTAGGATATTTCATTTTTCTAGGAGGGGGTGGGTTGCTAACTTCCTACAACGTGTGGGGGAACTAAACAAACATTGAAAACAAGCCATGGCAATCCACATTTGAACCATTGTGAGGAGAATCTACATGGATGCGTCCATAAAGTTACCAGGAATCAAGATTGTCCCGAGGAAGATTTTACCTATCAGAAACTTTACCTCTTTTTCAGGAAAGGAACTATGGGAGGTAAAACGTTTCAGATGAATAAATATTGGGGTCATCATCCTAATAGCTGGGTTGAACTTTTACTCAAGCTTCAAAGTTTTGTGATAGAGAGTTGCCAACAACATCTTAAGAAATAACGATTTTTGTTGTGGACTTTAACAAAATGTACTTGAGGGGCTGCCATAAAGAAGAGGGGGTCAAATTATTCTCCAAAGCACCAGAGGGCAGGACAAGAAATAATGGTTGGAAACTGATCAAGGAGAGAAGCAATCTGGAATTAAGGAGAAATTTCCTAATAGTGAGGACAATTAACCAGTGGAACAGCTGGCCTCTACAAGTTGTGAGTGCTCCATCACTGGAGGTTTTAAAGAAGAGACTGGACAGCCACTTGTCTGAAATGGTATATGTTCTCCTGCTTGAGCAAGGGGCTGGACTAAAAGACCTCCAAAGTCCCTTTCATCTCATTCATTCTATTTTAACCATGCAGTACAAGCATAGTTCTCTGAGCATTAGCTGCCAAATCAATCAATCAGTCAATCAATCAACTAATATTTATTTATTTAGAAATAATTTATACTGCTGCCTACTTGCACGGGGCGACTCAAGGTGGCTTACAAGGACATTAAAAGCACAATATAAAAGAAATAATAAATAATAAAATAATAGCGCCCCCTCCGACGACAACACACATTCATACCAGCTACTTAATGGGCTCCATCCGCCATGGGTTCCCCAGGCCCACTGGCAGAACCACGTCTTCAGGACTTCCCGAAAGAGTGGTAGAGTGGGGGCCAGTCCAATTTCTGAAGGGATGATCTTCCAGAGGGAGGGAGCCACCATGGAGAAGCCCTTCTTCTGGGCCCCACCAGATGCAGGGGTGGTCTGCTGGGGGCTCGCAGGGGCTCGGGAGAGTCCTAGCTAAGACTCTCTGGGGCTCGGAGAGCCCCCAAAGACAAGCAGCAAGGGAAAGCTCTTAATAGGCTTAATTAAACTTTTGGGCGTTCAGCCAAGAGCATTTCACACCTCATAAAAGTGTTGCAGGCTAGATAAACAATCTACTCAGCACCATTGAGAACAATCAGATAACATAGCCACTAGTCTCCATGGGGATTAATTCCCAAATAATAAGAATCACGTAACTCACCAGAAACTCCACTAAGACTCCAAGATCCTCATCAACAGTCACTGCTAGTAAGCCTGGTTTCACCCAGTCTTTTATTTAAGTATTAAATGCATGAAATAATAAACAACTTTTTGGTGTATATCTCCTTTATGTAATTAGGGCAAAGAAGCGACATCCAGTCACATGACCACTCTGCCATGCCCACCCAGCCAGTCATTAGGGCAGAGAGCCCCTTGCTAAAAAATTTGAAGCCCACCCCTGGCCAGATGTATCTCCTTAGGTGAGGGGACCCGCAACATGCCTTGGCTCCCTGCTCTAGTGGGACGGTTAGATGTGACCGGCAAGAGACGGTCCCTTAACTTGGACTTTGGGCATAGTAGTTGCAGTGCTGGGATGGACAATCAAATAGGTATAGTTGCAATAAAACCACAGTATATATCACTAGGAAAACTTTGATTGACTCAATTATGTAGAGGTAGCCCTTGACTTTACAACTATAGTGGAGACCAGAATTTCCATTGCTACTCAAGATGGTTGTAATAACGTGAGTTGTGCCCAATTTTACAACCTCCTTCGCCACGGGTTGTTAAACGATATCACTGCAACTGTTAAGCGAAACATGCAGTTGTTAAGTGAATCTGGCTTCCCCATTGATTTTTGCTGGTTGGAAGCTGGATGGAAAGATTGCAAATGGGCCTCGCAAGATCGCAGGACGCTGTGTTGCCACGCCCCTAAACTTTGATCACATGACCCTGGGGATGCTGCCATGGTAGTTAAGTGCGGAAAACCGGTCATAGTTCACTTTTTCAGGGCTATTGTAACTTCAAATGGTCACTAAACGAATGGTCATATGTTGAGGACGATACTTGCCTGCCCCAGAAAGCTGACAACATTTTTCAGATCATGAATTGGTTCCAGGATCTTCATATCCACTGGTTTTCATATCTACTGATTAAAATTTTGAGTGGAAAAAAATGTAAAACTTTATGTAAGATATGTTTGGAGCGGTCATTTCATGCTGACATTCATTTCTTGCGTTTTTTTCTCTCTCTCTCCCCAGTCTGCAGAATTCTTTGAAATGCTCGAGAAAATGCAGGTAAGTGAAACAGCATTTGTCTTCTAACTCAGTCGTCCCCAAGCTTTCTAGTTTGGTGGTGGTGGTGGTGGTGTGTGTGTGGAGTGCAGGCACACACACCCGTGCACAGCTCCATTTGTGGGAGCAGCCTTGCATGAATGTGCAAGCAGAGGGTGTTTGCACTTATGCGCAAAGCTTCACATTTGCCAGCAGAGGTCTCTTGATGAGAAGGTGCTTCATGTGAATGGAACTTCGCACGCATGCGTGCATGCTTGCCCATCGCTCATGCGACTGGAGCTTCATGCATGTACGCTTGTCCGTCTCTCCCATTGGCCCGGTTTCGAACAGGCCACGGTTCAGTAGTGGGTCACACAGCCTGGGGTATGGGGACCTCTGTTCTAACTAGCTTCTTACTCTTTCACTGGGAAGGGGGATTAGATATTTTGGAGAGTTGAGGCGATCAGCGTATGCTATTCTTGAGGCCTGATCACTGCCTTAAAAACAGCATGCCTTAAATATCCACCCTTGGTTTGGTCAGGTGACAGCAGAGGAAAGCAAGCCCTCAGCTTCACTGTATCCGTGGTACGTCATATTTCTCTCTCCCTCCACCCTCCCATTCCAACACCATTCAGTGATTGCCTCAAGGCGTGTCAAATGTGTTAAGCTTTGACACCTGGAGAAAATAGCAAATAAGTGTTGTTTGGAGTTTTGCTTTAATGATTTCTTGTGCTTCTGCAAGACTTAAGATGGCGTGGGCTCAGGTTGTCTAAGGGCTGTCTTTTCCCAGTTTTGTTTATCTGACAAGGAGCACAGCGGCTCACGTAGTTGGGAATGCTGGTTAGGAGGTTAGCAAGCCCACGTTTGAGACCCATGTCCTGGCGTGGGGCAGGGCTGAACTCCCGTCCTTTGCTCTAGCTCCTGCTAGGGGCATGAAAGACGCCCCCAAATGGGTGTCCCCAGAGCAACGGTGATGTCACTGGCTAATCATTTCAACCCAGAAGCACCTTAGTGGGTCTGACACGAGTGCTGTGCTATGCTATCTACCTGGCCTACCAGAGTGGGGAAGCAGGATATGTTATGGGTTTCTTCTCTTAATTCCATATAGTGGGACCCAGAAGGAAGGGCCTTCTCTGTGGTGGTTCCCTCTCTGTGGAACATCATCCCTGTGGAAATAAGAATAGTGCCGCCACCCGGACACTCTTTTGAAAAGTCCTGAAGATATGGTTTTGCCAATGAGCTTGGGGACGCCAGGATGATACGGGGCCTATCAAGTGGTTGATTTGATTGTTGTCGCTATGGGAGGAGAGATTTACTGGGTTTTGGTTTGGGGTTTTATTTCTATAAGTTGCTTGGAATCACCATGAGTGTCCTGGGAGGCCATATAAACTTTCTCAATAAATAAATGAGATAATCATTCAGCTTCTTAAGCCCCTTTCGCCTGAGAAGCTCCCAATTTTGTGGCCCTGCAACCTCTTCAAAGGAATTTCTGAAGGAACCCCAGAGATCTAAACAACTGTGCCACTTTAAGAGAGGCAGCGATTGTATATGGTATATTGTGTCATTTGTGATAAAAATGAAAAAGATGGCTGTTTCCATTCCTTAAGGATATTCTTAGCACTAAATAAAACTAGAAAGGAGAGTGCTGTCACCGACCAAAGGTTCAAAACATTTGAAAACCAGTGGTTTTTAACTTTCCTTCCCCTGAATTGCTTCATATTGTTAAGTGTTTGCTTTGGTTTGTATTCACAGGACTGGTTCTAAATTCATTGAAAAAGTTTCTGGAGTTATTTTCTGAACGCCTTAGATTAAATGACAATTGTTATGCCATATTCATGGGGCGAGATAGTCTTGAAAGTTGAAATGCTGTTAAATAGACAAGCAAATAAATCTTCCTCATTAAACCAGCATTTTCACAACCTTGTCTACTGGAAGATGTGTGGACTTCATCTCCCAGAATTCCCCAGCCAGCATGGGGAAAATGGCTGGCTGGGGAATTCTGGGAATTGAAGTCCACACATCTTCCAATGGAAAAGGTTGTGAAAACACTGCATTAGATCCTTTCCAACGAGTAACATGAATAAACTTCAGCATAAAAACATAATAAATAAATAAATAAAATAATTTTTCAGCAACTTCTTCTTTGCTCACATAGCAATAGCACTTAGACATATACTGCTTTATAGTGCTTTAGAGCAGGGGTCGCCAACCTTTTGGACCCCAGGGACCACCAAACTCATAATTTTAAATCCCAGGGACCACTAATCGGTTCTGTGGGCATGGCCTAATTTGTGGGTGTGGCTTGGTGGTCATGTGACTGGCTGGGCATGGCTTGTATGTAAATATTATAAATATTTATATAAATATTGATTTTTTTATAAAAAAGAGCAACTTTTACCCAAAATCAGGCAAAGCAGGCAGGCAGATTGAGTTGCTCACAGAATCACAGATTCATTCAGAGATCTATCTATCTGCATTGGCTAGCTCAGTCTGTCACATAAAATTTGCTTGCAAGCAAACTCACAAAATTAACTCACAACACACCATGCATGAAAATATTGAATTTTTTTTATAAAAAAGAGCAACTTTTACCCAAAATTAGGCAAAGCAGGCAGATTGAGTTGTTCACAGAACCATTTAGTGATCTGTCTATCTGCCATCGGCTAGCTCAATCTCTCAAATTTGCTTTCCATGAGTCTGCACTGAATTTGCTTGCAAGCAAACCTTCAGTCCTAAGGGAGGTTTGGCTGTGCTGAGCCAAAGATCTAAAGACTAACTAGAAAGCAAGAAATCCAACCATTTCCTGCTTCCTAGCTAATCTAAATCTCCCAGCACAGCAGAACAGATGATGGTCGGAAAAAGGAAAAGTAGCAATTTAGCAGGCATGTTTGCCGGGTAAGGAAGTAAGTGGGTGGGGAGGGTTCCCACGGGCCATGTGGGCGGCGCAGCCTTACGCAGCCTGGGTTAATTGCTTTGTGGGGGTGCTCTGGGGGTGAGATTTTTCTGTGGCCCACCAAAATTTTCTCACGGCCCACCAGTGGGCAGTGGCCCACCGGTTGGCGACCGCTGCTTTAGAGCCCACTCTAAGTGGTTTACAGAATCAGCATATTGCCCCCAACAATTTGGGTTCTCATTTTACCCACTTTGGAAGGATGGAAGGCTGAGTCAACCTTGAGCCTGGTGAGATTTGAACTGCCAAATTGCAGGCAGCCGGCTGTCAGCAGAAGTAGCCTGCAGTACTGCACTCTAACCACTGCGCCACCGAGGCTCTTCGGTGAGAATTTCTACACACAAAATCTAAGCAGATACATTGTAGGTATTCTGAGGTTTTTATTTTTATTTTTAACTGAGGTCTTTAACTACTTTTTCTTCATCCAAACAGAGTCCAAAATCAGAAGAACAGAAGGGTGGAGGCCAGAAAAACAAGGTGAGAGTCAATGCAAGGCTCTTTTAACTAGCCCACAATCTTCCTGGAGTGAGGAAAAAATGCAGGGAAAAGTACAGGAGTGCAGTCGGTATCCTAGGATTCCAATTTCCCCCTATTTTCTATGAGTAAATCAATATTATTCCAGACCCTATGATTCATTCTTTGGTCAGGGAATTTTCTTTCTTTTATTTTTATGGATAACTAGTCCGAAAATTGTCATATCTCAGGGGATTTCAGGTGAAAACACCAAGCTCTTTTGACATTTTTATATCTTGTAAGCTTTCAATGTAACAAATGTTGGCATTCCCGGGATTACATGGGGAGATGTAGCAATTCCCATCACCACATGCGATGCTGTGTTTATATTTATATTTAATATAAAGGTAACAACAAAATATAAACAAGAAAGATGATTAGGGCACTGGAGGCTTAAATATACAAACAACGGTTGCTGGAATTGGGTATGTCTAGTTTAATGAAAAGAAGGACTAGGGGTGAAATGATAACAGTCTTCCAATATCTCAGGGGCTGCCACAAAGAAGAGGGAGTCAAGCTATTCCCCAAAGCACCTAAGGGCAGGACAAGAAGCAATGGATGGAAACTGATCAAGGAGAGAAGCAACCTAGAACTAAGGAGAAATTCACTGACAGTTGGAACAATTAAGCAGTGGAAGAAGTAAATGCTCCAACACTGGATGTTTTAAAGAAGAGATTAGATAACCATTTGTCTGAAATGGCGTAGGGTTTCCTGCCTAAGCAGTGGGTTGGACTAGAAGACCTCCAAGGTTCCTTCTAACTCAGTTATTCTATTCTATTATTTATATTCAGTATATCACATCTTTATTATTTTTACAAATAACTGAAGGCTGTGAACATATCCAACACACCTTCCTCCTCGCATTTTCCCCCACAACAACCACCCTGTCAGATGAGTTGGGCTGAGAGAGAATGATTAGCACAAGGGCACCCAGCTGGCTTTCATGGCTAAAGCGGGACTTGAACTCACAGTCTCTTGCTTTCTTGCCTGATGCCTAAAAGACTTCCTCTGTCAAGCCATCTTCCTGTAATGAATACTGTTCAAACAGGTTGCCTATTAATTTCTCGATCTTACTTGCTCAAGAAATGTATTTCCATTTAAAGATATCGGAAAGATCTGTCAAAGGATAGTCATTAGTTACCTGTCCAGTAGAATCCTTGTAGATGAAGTCAATGGTGTTCTAAGAGCAGACCTCAAACTTTATAAGATTACATAATATAATAATATAAAGTTCCTCAACCGTTTGTTTAGCAACTGTTCAAAATTACCATGGTACTGAAGAAAAAGCGACTGATTGCCAGTCCTCTCACTTATGACTGCAGCATCCTCACAGTCTCGTGATCAAAATTTGTGCGCTTAGCACCAGGTGTGTTTATGATGGTTGCAGTGTCCTGGGGTCATGTGATTTGAGACCTTGCAGCAGGCTTCCAACAAACAGAGTCAATGTGGGAAGCCAGATTTACTAAACACCTGTTTCACTTAACAATAGCAATGATTTGCTTAATAACCAGAGAGGAGAGAGAGAGAGAGACAGAGAAGGAGAGAAGAGAGAGAAGAGAGAGAGAGGAGAGAGACATAGAGAAGGAGAGAGAGAGACAGACAGAGACAGAGACAGAGACAAGGAAGGGAGAAAGAGAGACAGGAGAGACAGACACAGTAGGAGAGAGAGAGAGAGGAGAGACAGACAGAGCAGAGGGAGAAAGAGGAGAGAGACAGACAGACAGACAGACAGACAGACAGACAGACAGAAGGAACAGAAGCAATTGAGCAAAAAGACAAAGTGGAAGGAAGGAAGCTATCAGGCATGTCCTAATTTCACTTTTAAAGAAATTGAATCTTTCAAAAGCAATATCAGTTATATTTCCAAAAGAAACAAAGCTGCTTTCATTACCTTAAATGGTGTTTGAAATAGAACCGAGGGTGACATTTTCTTGTGTGTGTTTGTTTTTATTATTTTCCAGGAGGACTATATCCCCTATCCCAGCATTGATGAGGTATGTACTCGAGGGGAAAAAGAAAAAAAAGCTATTAGAAAGATTACTAAAAAAGAAAGTCACTGAAAGGTTTAAGTGGGGATCCAAAATCTCAAAGTAACCACCTTGGAATTGAAAAGTCGCACCTTTTCTATGCATGCTGCTTTTCTAATGCAACGAAAGGAAGGGGCTACAGCCATACATTTGGGGCTGCTCTTGGCTTTTTTTGAATCCCACCCCTCCCCCAGCTCAAGATGCTTCTGATACTCTGCCAGAATATGTATAACTTGGTTTTGAATAAATTAGAAGACACTGTTGGAAGGAAGATCCATCTGGTTTTGTTCCAAGCTGAGAGAAAGACATGTTGAGGCTCTAGAAAAAGTACAGAGAAGAACAACCAGGATGATTAGGGGACTGGAAACTAACACATATGAAGAACGGTTACAGGAACTGGGCATGGCTAGTCTAGTGAAGAGAAGGATCAGGGGAGACATGATAGCAGTCTTCCAATATTTGAGGGGCTGCCACAGAGAGGAAGGGGTCAAGCTATTTTCCAAAGTACCCAAAGGCCAGACAAGGAATAATTGATGGAAACTGAACAAGGAGAGATTTAACTTGGAAATAAGTGAGAGCAATCAACCAATGGAACAGAAGTTGCCTTCAGAAGTTGTGGCAGTTTCATCACTGGAGGCTTTCAAAAAGAGATTGGACTGCCATTTGTCAGAAATGGTGTAGGGTCTGCTGGGTAGGGGGTTGGACTAGATGACCTACAAGGTCCCTTCCAACTCTGTTAATATGTTAATCTGTTAAAATACAACCAGTAGAACAGCCCAGTGCAGAGAGAGGGAAGGAGAGAGGGAAGGAGAGAGGGAAGGAGAGAGGGAAGGAGAGAGAGAGAGAGTTTGTTCGTTCCCTGATCATGGGCTCCAGCACGAGTCCAAAAGCTTGAAAGAATAAATCTTTGGTCCCAGTGACTGACTCAGATTATATTCTAAGGCAACTATTCTTTAACACCACACCCTCTAAATGAGTTTCAATATGTTCTCACTGTGACTTCCTATAATTGGAGAGGTACAAGCAAAAAATATGTGGTTGAGGCACCAGGTTGAGGATATCCAGAATAAATATCTGTGCAGTCTGCACATAAAACAAACAGGTTTGTTTTTTTTGAATTGTTTGTTTGTTTGGTTTTTACTTTACAGGTATATATAGAAAAGCTTTTGGTTTTTTTAAAAAATAAATTTACTGCATTCATTGCTGAAATTACATAATTTAACAATTTCCTAGACCTTTTAAATTTTGCAGCAATGTTTTTGCCAAATCTACGTTAGTCATACCCAAAAGTGCAGTGATTCCTTGTTACAAACTCTGTTTGGTTACAAAATACTGATGAGTTCATACAGTGGATTACTGTTCAAACACCACATCTACATCTCTGGGTGCAAGGAACTATTCATAAGTTTACACCATTAAGTGGTACATTGAATGCCAATGTGTGTTATTTTTTTAACCCGACAAGGACGATATAAATCATTTTAAAGAATTCTTACTTGCTACTCTGAGATATTTTTTTAAAAAAAGATTTAGATCCAAAATATTGTTCTGATGTGGAAATTGCTTTGTACATTACTTCAAGCATAAAATTAAGATGAATTAAATCCTCTTTGCTAGAAATTATCAGGAACGTCATCAAATTTGATCAGTACAAGAATTAGCGTAGTGACGTTATCTAACCATACAGGTGAAATTAGACAATCGGTAGAAATAATGAAATTGGTTCAAAGTAGCCTTTCTGAGCCAGATGTTTTGGGACTACTGTTCTTAAAATAACCAGCTGATTTCCCCATTTGGGGAATTTCTGCCCAACCACATCTGGTGGATGTCATACCAGAGAAGGATTGTGTACTTTATTTTTATATATTGAAGGAGATCTATAAATTAATAATAATTAAAAAAAACAGTTTTAATCATCCACCCAGAGACTGGAAACAGATGAACTCTGGAGATTTATATCTAGTCCTGCCTTTTCTCCATGCTTGACTCCACACTCCGAAGTCTTTTGTTAGATTCTTTGATTCACATTTTGAGAATGTGATTGCAACATGGAGTTGGGTAACATCTGAGTGATCACTTTTTGTTCTACCAAGTGGGGTTGGGAATATAAAAAGTATGAGGTAGCATTTTAATGTGATGTCCATTAGATGGGGTTGGAATTGAACATCTGCACCACCACAAGGCCTGGAAATGGACTTGAACCTTTTCTTCTGGGTCCATAATTACACACAAGCCTGAGAATCAAATCTGCCCTGAAATATTTACAGGAGTGTTTCTCAACCTTGGCATATTTTCATTGATATATTTTCTCGTTATATTCGATAAGTACTTTGTGAACACCGTTCTGTCTGAGTCAATTTGCTTACATAACAATATTAAACTCCTAGGTTTTAACTCTATTATCCAACCATTGATAAAACAAGTCCCAAGATCGAAAATATTCTGTGTCTTCTTTTTCTTCTGTCTTCAGTATTAGTCTATCCATTTCTGCACAGTCTAATTTTTTTAAAAAATCCTCTTCTGTGGGTGTTTCCTCATTTTTCCAGTGTTGTGCAAATACAATTCTTGTTGCTGTCAAAACATGTCACCTTGGCAAGTTTCAGATAGGTGGACTTCAACTCCCAGAATTCCCCAGCCAGCTGGGGAACTCTGGGAGTTGAGGTCCACACAGCTGAAAGTTGCCAAGGTTGAGAAACACTGATTTATGGAATCAACATTGACATCTAGTTCGGTGGCCTTATGCTTCAGACGAGGCAGCCCTGACAAGCCGAGCACATTGTTCTAAAGTGGCACCTGATGACCATTCCTTCCTCCCCTCCAAACAGATTTTAGAAAAAGGGAGTCCCTACCCCTTAATCATCTTGCCTCAATTTGGGGGCTACTGGATCGAAGACCCCGAGAACCTCAGCACCCCCACTTCATCTGAAAGCAGCATCTGTGATGAAGAGGAGGAACCGCTCAGCCCCAGCACTTACGGCTACAAACTGGAGTGCAAAGGTGAAGCCAAGGCATATCGGAAACATTTCTTAGGAAAGGTTAGTGGGAAAGGAGGCGTGTGCTCCATTACACACATGCTTACGCAGAGCTTAAAGGGGTCGAGCAAACTTCTCCGGCATTTGCGTGTCAGGGAATGGTTGCATCTATCATTTGGGGATGGTTGCAAAGGAGATGCATTTATATTTCTGCAAATGTAACGTTCTAGATAGAGGGGCAACTCAAACAGCAAAGCACAAAACAGGAAGTCAGATCAACCAATCAGCAGCAAGACTCACACAGGGGTGGGATTCTACTGGTTCGGATGAACCGGTAGCCCCGACGATCAGCTGGGAGTGAGCCGGTTCGCTCCGATGATCAGCTGTTGGGCCCATGGGCTCTAGTCTGTGCTTTATTTCTGGGTTTTCCAGCTCAGCTGCTTCGCACGGCACAGCAGATTGCCGCGCATCAGCTGTTTTACACACAGGGCTTGCAGCAGAAGGTGAGTTGCAAATGCTGCACATGCATGCAAAGCACACACTCACTGAACCAGTTGTTACCCTGGTTGAATCCCATCCCTGGACGCACACATCCGTACAACACACAGTTGGAATTTGGGTGTGTATGCATCAGCCTGTCTGTGACCATCTGCAACCTACACTTACCCTGTCAGGGTTCCAAGTAATCCATAGCAAGCAAAACTCTAAGGCAGGTAGATACCTCAAAGTATACTTTTATTGGGATTATCATATTGGCACCTACCTGCTGAAAACCGACTATAAAGTCTCCCATGGTTTTCACGTCATTAAAAATATTTTTTTTTCTACTTTCTCAAAACAGTCAGTCACACGGTCCAATCACAGTGCAGGCTGGCAGCCGGGTAGCATTTCTCTGCCTTCCTCCGAACAGGTGTGAGAATGTCCTTGGTTCTCAAGAGAAAATACATTGTTTTGACTGCAGATTCCCTTCTATCTCAATTCCTCCCTCCCTATCCCTCAGCTCCAGTGTGGCAACACTGAAGCGGTCAGAAATGGCTTCAGTCAGGTCAGCTTCAGGATTGACATCACCATCAACCCCTTTGAGATGTAGGTAATCAGCTAATGATTAAAATCTCATTTATGATGGTTACCGACATTTTTTTAGCGCAGACAAATACAAGTAGTTCTCAACTTATGACCACAAACGAGCTTAAATTTTCTGTTACTGAGACATTTGTTGAGTGTATTTTGCCCCATTCTACGACCTTCCTTGATACATTCGTTAAGTGAATCACTGCAGTTTTGTAAGTTAGTAACACGGTTATTAAGTGAACCTGGCTTCCCAGATTCCTGTCAGAAGGTCACAAAAGGTGATCACATGACCCCAGGACACTGCAAAGGTCATAAAAATGAATCAGTTGCCCAGCGTCTGAATTTTGATCACGTGACCATGGGATGGCTGCAACAGTCATAAGTGTGAAAACTGCCCATGGGTCACTTTTTTCAGTGCTGTTGTAACTTTGAACAGTCACTAAATAAACTGTTGTAAGTCAAAGACTACCTGTAGTTCAGTCTTGTCTAGAATCTGATTAAATCAGCCTTTAGCTGTTAAAAAATTTACAAAGGAGGTAGTGTTAGTAGTCATGGTTTTGGCATTTTGTCTGGACTATTTTGAAGGGCTGACATTACTGAATATCCCCCCCAAAAAATAAACCCACCCAGCTTCCAGATTCCGGATAAAGTTGATCTATTCTTTTGTTCTAAAAAAGCTTGGTAACCATTATAACTGCAATAGCACTTAGGACTTAGACTTATATACCGCTTTACAATGCTTTACAGCTCTTTCTAAGCGGTTTACAGAGTCCGCATATTGCCCCCAATCTGGGTCCTCATTTTATTGACCTCAAAAGGATGGAGGGCTGAGTCAACCATGATCTGGTCAGGATTGAACTCTTGGCAGTGGGCAGAGTCATCCTGCAATACTTCATTCTAACCACTGTGCCACCACAACTCTAAAATTTTAAGCATTAACTGTTAATTCGTACACAGTTCTGGTCCCTGTGCCTTAAATGTATATTGGAAAGACAGGAAAGGTGCATATAGTGGAGGAACAGACTGGCTTTCCCACAAGGGGCGGCATGATGGCTCAGCAGTTAAGATGCTCAGTTGGTCGGCTGTAAAGTCAGCAGCCCAGGTTCAAGACCCAAGAGTCACGAGATGGGATGAGCTCCCACCCTTGCCCCATCTCCTGCCAACCTAGCAATTTGAAAGCCTGCAAACGCAAGTAGATAAATAGGTACCACTGTGGTGGGAAGGTAACAGAACTCCATGATGTCATGCTGATCACATGACCACGGAAATATCTTTGGACAGCGCTGGCTCAATGGCATTGAAATGGAGATGAGCTATACCCCGTATATAAGTGTAAAATCCACAGGGGTTCCTTATCCCCAAGGAAAGATTTGTGGCATCTGGGCTTTTTCTACATAGGGCAAGATCTAAAAGGATTGTGTAAAAGTCTGCTCAGTCTGGAAATGACAGCTACTGTAGAGAGTTTTCCACCCACTCACCCTCACACTATCAAAATTTAGGGTCATCCATTAAAAATTATTCAGGCTCATCCATTCAACATCAATGTGAGAAGACTCACATTACTACACACCTAGAGAAGATAATATAGAGGTAGCTCAGGGTTGATCTGTGGAGCCCTGTTGCTGTCTGAGCTTGGCTGTTTTCTTGGAAACATTTTGTTTCCCAGCTAGGTAGCATATTCAACCCCCATTGTTATTCAAAGTACATAATGAGAAGGAGAGGAGAAATAGAAAGGGCATTAATAAAAGGAAATTTGGAGGGGGGGAGGGAAGGGAACCTTGTGGGAGGAGGGAAATGAAATTTCAACAGTGTTAAACCAGAGCTGAGCATTTTATGACCTTGGAGTCACAACTGGCCCTTTGGCTGTTCCTATCCAGCTTAAATGAATTTATTTTATTTTGAAGGAGGCTGCTACTTTTTGTGCAATTTATGTATGTGCAGGCTTCAATGCCTACGCACCTTCACAGCCTTATTGATTGGGCCCTTCACAACAGTCCCAGTTTCCAATGTGACCCTTTGGGAAAAATTAATTGCCCACCCCTCAGTGGTGGGATTAAAATTTTTTTACTACCGGTTCTGTGGGCGTGGCTTGGTGGGCATGGCAGGGGAAGGATACTGTAAAATCTCCATTCCCATTCTACTCCTGGGGGAAAGTTACTGCAAATTCCCCATTCCCTCCCCACCCCACTAACCTGCTTTCCAGCTCCGTTCTCCTGTGCAGGGCAACAAAAGAAGACACGGCCGATCAGCTGGGACTCGGAAGGCAGAGAAGAGATGGGGGCGGGGCCAGTCAGAGGTGGCATTTGCCGGTTCTCCCAACTACTCAAAATTTCCCCTGCTGGTTCTCCAGAACTGGTCCGAACCTGCTGAATAGCATCTCTGCCACCCCTCTGTTAAACGGTGGCATTCATGGTCACCAAATGTGGTGATGGCCACCAAAACAAATGCTACCAGTCTCAGAGACGTCATGTCTGTTATATATGTGGATTATGATAGATGTTCTTTCAACTTTCTTGGGTAGATCCAGGGGTGGGATTCTACCAGTTCGCACCTATTCTCTAGAACCGGTTATTAACATTCTAAGCAGTTCGGAGAACCGGTTGTTAGAAGAAATTACTGGCCTAATCCTGTAAGGAAGGCAGGAAGGAAACATTCTGGTGTTGCTTACAGAAACTGCCTCTCCGTTAACCCTTATTACATTCTTGGCAGGACTAGACTTCCTGTCTCTGGAACGTCTCTGGAATTTTTTCCCCTCCTTTGCTGGTACTTTGCTTGTGTGGAGTGACCATTCAAACTTACAATGGCACTGAACAAAAGTGCCTGACTGATGACCATTTTTCACACTTATGACTGTTGCAGCATCCCCACAGTCATGAGAGGCCAGGCGAGGAGATGCGTGCTTCGATGTGAGTGATATTGAGTTGGCCACACCTAGCCAATAACATGACCACCAAGCCACGCCCACCACCTAAGCCACACCCACAGAACCGGTTGTTAAAAAATTGAATCCCACCCCTGGGTCAGTCAGTTCCTGTGTGACACAGAATGCTGGGTTAAATATTATTTATTAATAAATATTAAGTATTAAATATTCTCTGTGTTGCCCAATTTAGTTTTCCTGCTTTCTTTGGGATGGATCTGAGAGGAGTAGATCCTGGATCCACATGTCAGGGGGTTCATAAAATTCAGTGCTATGCAGCTATTAAAAGAAAAATATACCTCTGGCCCCATTTCTCTCTGCGAGAACATCACTGAAAGAGGCTGATGCTCTGAAGAGCAGCCAAAATCTTTCAGAATTGAAAGGCAATGGATGAAAATAGGTTGATGTCAGGGAGCAGAGAGAAAAATGAGAGCGTATGTGAAAAGAAAGGAAAGAAAGAGGAAGGAAAGAAAAAGGGGGAAGAGCAAGAAGGGAGGTAGGAGAGTGCGAGGAAAGAAGGAACAATTAAAGTACCTGAAGGCAGGACAAGAAGCAATGGGTGGAAACTAATCAAGGAGAGATCCAACCTAGAACTAAGGAGAAATTTCCTGACAGTTAGAGCAACTAATCAGTGGAACAGCTTGCCTCCAGAAGTTGTGAATGCTCCAAAACTGGAAGTTTTAAAGAAGAGACTGGATAAATGATTGTCTGTGATGGTATAGGGTTTCCTGCCTGAGCATGGGGTTGGACTAGAAGACCCCTAAGGTCCCTTTCAACTCTGTTATTCTATTATTATAGGAAGGAAGGAAGGAAGGAAGGAAGGAAGGAAGGAAAGAAGGAAGGAAGGAAGGAAGGAAGGAGAAATGCCTTAAACTACATGTAATCCTGAGGATTAAACAGGCATTTCATGCTGTGTTTTTGTCCTGAAGGTCCAATAGGGATTAATTTGATTTATCTGGGCTTCTGATGGCCTACTTGGGGATAGGAGGAATAACGTTCCAATATCCTGATAGTTGAATGTAGAAGAAAGTCCTTGGCTTACAACCATTCTTTTAGTGACTGTTCAAACTTACAATGTCACTGAAAGAAAAGTAATGGCTTGGTCCTCGCACTTATGACCATGGCAACATTCCCACGGCCACGTGATCAAAATTTAGGTGCTTGGCCACAGACACCTATTTTGGACGTTTGCAGCACCTCAGGGTCATGTGATTGCGATTTATCACTTTATCACTTCTTAAAATGGAGCTTGACTCACTTAACAATTGCCTTCCTTAGCCGTGGAAATTCGGGTCCAAATTGAGGTCGTAAGTCAAAGACTACCTGTGTTTTTCCAAGTTGGGGCTAGTCTCACCTGCCCTTCAAACCTAATTGCTCAATGGTTTCTAAGATCTGCAGTCCCTGGCATTGCATGGTGGGCAGTGGTGGGATTCATTTTTTTTTTACTACTGGTTCTCTGGGCGTGACTTGGTGGGCGTGGCAGGAGAAGGATACTGCAAAATCCCCATTCCCTCCCCACTCCACTAACCCGCTTTCCAGCTCCGTTCTCCTGTGCAGGGCAACCAAAGAAGACCCAGCCAATCAGCTGGGACTCGGGAGGCAGAGAATAGATGGGGGCGGGGCCAGTCAGAAGTGGTATTTTCTGGTTCTCTAAACTACTCAAAATTCCCGCTACCGATTCTCCAGCACTGGTCAGAACCTGCTGAATACCACCTCTGGTGATGGGGCCCCAACCCCCAAATCACAGAATACTATGTGTATAATGTTTCTTGTAACCCCCAAAGGATTTGCATGGTGTTCATAAACTACGGATGAGTCACTTGTGATTACTTTGGAGTGTTAAAAATGAGCCGTAGATCAACAATGAAACTATGGAAGTCAGGAAGGGCAGGTTAAATCACTAAGTTTAAGGTCTTTGGGTTTGTTTTTTTTTCTCCTGATACTCTTAACACACATTCTTTCTATCTCTAGGATCATTTAAACTTTTACTGCACGGCCAGCAGCCTGGGAAATTTGATCCTTTCCATTAAATGTGAAGAGGCAGATGGAATTGAATATCTACGGATTATTCTCAGGTAAAGGAAAGGGGTAAAGGAAACAACATATACAGAAAACAAACATGGATTGATTATTATGGAAGTTCTGTTCATTCATTCCTGTGGCAGCGTTTCTACATCAGTATTTTTTTTAAAGAAGGGCACGATGGCTCAATCGTTAAAGATGCTGAGCTTGTCAGCTGGAAAACTGGCAGTCTGGGTTTTATTTATTTATTTGTCAAGCGATTATAAGATAATATGTATAAGTATAAACATAGTTATGAATACATAAAATGGATACATATAGGAAAAATAAAAAGAAATAAAAAGAAACAATAGGACAGGGACGGTATGCATGCCCCCTACAGACCTCTTGGAAAGGAGTGAGGTCAATAGTAGATAGTCTAAGGTTAAAGTTTTTGGGGTTTGGGGAAGAAACTACACAGTCAGGTAGAGTATTCCAGACATTGACCACTCTGTTGCTGAAGTCGTATTTCCTGCAATCAAGTTTGGTGCGGTTTACCTTGAGTTTGTATCTATTGTGTGCTCTTGTATTGTTATGGTTGAAGCTGAAGTATTCATTGACAGGTAGGTTTGAGACCCAAGCTCCTCACAATGGGGTGAACTCCCTTTCCTTGCCTCAATTCCTGCCTACCTAGCAATAGCAATAGCACTTAGACTTATTTACCACTTCACAGTGCTTTACAGCCCTCTCTAAGCGGTTTACAGAGTCAGCATATTGCCCCCCAACAATCTGGGTCCTCATTTTATTGACCTGGAAGGCTGAGTCAAACTTTGAGCCTGGTGAGATTTAAACTGCCAAATTGCAGGCAGCCAGCAGTCAGCAGAAGGAGACTGCAGTACTGCACTCTAACCGCTGCGCCACCGTGACTAGCAGTTTGAAAGCATGCAAATATGAGTAGACCAATAGGTGACATTTCGATGGAAGGTAACAGCATTCCATGCACCTTTGGCGTAGAGTCAAGCTGGCTACAAGACCAGGGAAAGTGGCTTTGGACAACGTTGGCTTCCTTGGTCAAGAAATGGAGATGAGTACCCTGCCCTAGAATCGGACACAGGACAGGAATCCTTTACTTTTACTTTTTAAAGTTTGTGTACTAGAGCTACATAATTCCCAGCCAAGATCAGCCATTCTGACCTGAATTCTGGAATTGTAGTCCTATCAATCCGGAGGACGTATTTTCACTAGCATTAGATTCTTACACTGAACTGACCTATAATATCACTTATTTCTTTTTGACTGAGTCAAAAAGAGGCCGTTCCCCCACTAACGGGTAATCCTTGACTTGCAACAGTTCATTTGTTGGAAGTCTGTTCGTAGTTGCAACAGTGCTGAAAAAAGTGACTTATGGCCGTTGGTCACACTTACACCTGTTGCAGCATCCCCATGGTCACCTGATCAAAATTCAGCTGCTTGGCAACTGGCTCATATTTATGACAGTTGCTATGTCCTGGTCATCTTTTGTGACTTTCTGACAATCTTCAGTCAATGGGAAAGCCAAGAGTCACTTAACAACTGCAGTAATTCACTTAACAACTGTGGCAAGAAAGGTCATGAAATGAGCCAAAATTCACTTAACAACCATCTCACTTAGCAACAGAAATTTTGGGCTCAATTGTGGTCATAAGTCAAGAACTAACTATTGATAGCCCATTGCTGTGGTTCATAAATAAGGACTCAACAGCTATGTTAAAGCATACCAGTGCCCTATGTATACCCAACTGTAGAGTTAGAGCATGACTTTCCACTACATTGGAAAAAGTGCAAAGAAGAGCAACTAAGATGGCTAAAGGCCTGGAGACAGAAATATATGAGGAACGGTTGCAGGAATTGAGGTTGGCTAGTCTAGAGAAAAGAAGGACTGGAGGGTGTATTTGAGAGGCTGCCACAAAGAGGAAGGGGTCAATTTATTTTCCAAAGCACCAGAGGGCAGGAGAAGAAACAATAGATGGAAACTAATCAAGCAAAGAAGCAACCTGGAATTAAGGAGAAACCTCCTAACCAGTGGAACAGCTTGCTTTCAGAAGTTGTAGGTGCTCCATCACTGGAGGTTTTTGACTGGACAGAAATGGTATAGGATCTCCTGCTGGAGTAGGGGGTTGGACTAGAAGACCTCCAAAGTTCCTTCCAGCTCTATTCTGATTGATTGATTTACCCAGGGTTGACTTAAACATGCTTCAGTTAAACTATTGTCCTGTATTTGCATGATGTGTTGAGTGATAAGTACACAGGCTGAGTTTTCCTGGTGCTCCTGGCTGAGATGTGGTGGGATCCTTTGTAGTTTATTGTGTTGCGCAAACACAAGCAACAGACTTGTATACAGAAGATCCCAATCTGACCTCTGGCATTTATAGACTCAGCTGGGAAAAACTCCTATCTGATGCATTAGTAAGCCAAAGAAGACTTCATGTACAGTAATCTTCGATTTATGACTGTTCACTCAGTGCTTTGGGTCAACTCAGCATCTGGCCTGCATTTACAATTGTTTGCAGGTCCCATGGTCACAGGAGCACAATTTATGATGTTTTGGCCAGAATCATCCCGTAGTGAACAATGGACTCAGTTAATGACGGTAGCATTCAACAGCTGCAAAAGAACTTGTAAAATCAAGTGTGGGGTCACATGGTGACCTGCTTTATCAGTGTCATGACTTACAACCAAAGTTGTAGGTTCAATTCTGGCTGTAAATCAAGCACTTCCCGTAAACAATTTCTGAGACTGCAAGATCTGGAATCTATCAAGTTGTCTTCTTTTAGAGTCATGGTAGTATAAAGTTGAAGGGACTGTTAGGTCAAGGAATCCATTCCCTTCTCTCTGTGTAGGAATCCACTCTGCTTGAATACCTTAAATGAAAGGCAGATCACCATTGGTCACCATAGGTCATTGGTCACTGTAGGTCATCCTGTAGACACCAAAATAAGTATGTTGATACCCCATTTCCCTGAAAATAAGACCTATCCCCCAAATAAGCCCTAGCATGTTTTTACATGTGTGCCTAATATAAGCCCTATCCCCCCAAAATAAGTCTTACTTAAGAGCCTGTGCACCCAGCAAGCCACACACTTCTGTTTGGTTGTTTGTGGTGCCACAACCGCAAGGCAAGGCAGAGGGGTAGAGCTGTCCCACATGCCCCACACTGGCTTACCTCAGGACTTCTACAACCAGACCACCCATGCCTTAATATCTGCCTTGAGGTAGCAGCACCAGCAGCCATGTGCAATAGGACCCCACATGGCTGCCGGCCCACTTCTTCTGCTTGCTCATGGCCTCAGCAGAGTAGGAGGCCAAGTGGTGTGCTGGTGCCGTGGATGCAAGGCGAGGCAGGTGTGATGGTGTGGATGGCCTGGCTGTGGGGTCCTGAGGTAAGCCGCTGCAGAGCATGTAGGTCTTGCCTTGTGGCTGCAACACCGGTGCGTCACTCTGCCTCCTGCTCCATTGCGGCCGTGAGTAAGCAAAAGTGGGCCAGTGACCATATGGGATCCTGCCCTGCCACGAACAAGCATAAGAAGTAGGCCGTCAGCCATGTGGGCTCCTGCGGCACATGGCTGTTGGTGCTGCCGCCACGAGGGAGGTGTCAGGGAAGAGATACATGGAAAAGAAGGCAAGTGTCAGGCCTCATGTACATGGGGGGGGGGGAATGACACCCCCTGAAAATAAGCCCTAATGCTTATGTTGGGGCCCAAAAGAAAATAAGACCCAGCCTTATTTTGGGGAAAAACATGGTGTAGTAGGATGAAAAGCACTTCCATCTTCTGGAGGAATAATGGAATGTATGAAATGGAATTTGAATGATTGTTAAAGTGGTGATTTAATATGAATAGGATTACTATTAGTAGAGTTACAAGGACTTGTCAAATGTATTAAATATGATTATTGATGTTTTATTGGTGGTAAAAGGAAGGATATATTTGATGAATGAAATGTTATATTAAAAAAAATGTTAGGGAATATTCTTGGGAACCGTCGCGGCATAACTAAAAGTTAGAATTGGGGTGGAATTGGAGAGGGGAAAACAATGGTACACAATTCCTTAATAATAAGATGATGTAAGAAAAAGAAAGGGAACCAGAATTTAAATGAAGGTGATATTAAGTATATTTGAATAATATGAGGATTAGCATAAAAGAACTAATACAATGAAATTTTGAATATATAAATGAATAAGAGACTATAATGGAATATAAGGATGTGTATTAATGCTAGAAAGAAATAAGATTATGGAAAAAAATATATAGCTAACATGATTATTAATATGTTATTGGATGTAAAATGTAAAACACCCAGGTGTAATATTGTTCACATATTGATATGTAGGTAAAATAAAAAAAACTTTGGAAGAAAAAAGATGGTATTTCTCAACCTTAGCACCTTGAAGATATGTGGACTTGGATATGTGGACCATGCTGGCTAGGGGATTCTAGAAGTTGAAGTCCACACAACTTGCCAAAGTTGAATAACACAGAACCAGAGTGAACTTCTCCCTCTCAGTTGGTTGATCCATGGCTTCTTTTCATCGACCCTTGGCGCCAGCTCTCACTGGTCTTGTCCAATGGGTTGATTTGGACCACGAGATGATATTGTCCAAATACTGTACATTAAAAGGTGACAGGGAATCCTTGAGGACCCTTTTGGTGTGCTCAAGTTCCTATGGAGTCCAAACATTTTTGCTACCTAAGAGAGACGAAGTGATGATAACAGGATGTTCTGTAGCTGTTCAGTGATGGATCTGAGTTTCTTGGGGTTTTAAAAATTACTTTATAGCGCTTTTAAGTCTGCTCTTCGGTAATGAGTTTGGCAACGAACATTGTTTGCTTGACCTACAGTAAAGCCCAAGGAAAGCAGTAAGAAAACAATCCCTTGAAAAGATATTGGAAAATGTCAATTATATATAACATTGGGGTTTTTTTTCTCTCTGTAATGTCTTATCCTCTTATTCCCCCAACAAATTACTGAAGTTTTAAAGGAAATGGGAAACTGGAGATGGTAACCGTAACAACCATGTCCAAACAAACCCTCTTAGAAAAGTTCAAAAACAATCTACAGATCCTTCCTTTTAATTAAATCTAGAGATATTGTTACACTATCACTGCTTATGTCTGATTCTCTCTGATTCTATTTTGGCCTTCCATAGGTCCAAAGCAAAAACTTTACACGAACGAATCCCTTTAGCTGGACTCAGCAAGCTGCCAAACATCCCACAGATTGCAAAGGTAGGTTGCTTGGAGTGATAACCATAAAGATCATGGTTGCGATCATTAGTAGATTCAGATTTTAGAGACTGGGCTTTATTGTTATGGAAGGTAATCACCAAAACATCAGTGATTGCAAGGAAAAAAAATCACGATGGAAGCAAGAATTAAACACAGACAAAAGTGTATAATCTGCAGCGCTTTGACTCCAAAGGTATCTTTGAGGAAGACAGTTGAGGAGCATAGTGAGTGGCCTAGGTGAGGAGAGGTGAGGCTCTTGCCTCACTCTCAGGAGGTTGTGAGTTTGATCCTAAGTAGAGGCAGATATTTCTCTCTCTGGGCACACACAGAATATATTTTCTGGATTAAAAAAACAAACCTCTGCATTGGTGACAGGAAAAGGCATCCGGCCAGTAAGTACTCAGCTCCATTCCACTCCTCAAAGGATTATGGGGCCATTAAAAGAGGACGATGAGTTGAGGTGGATAGTGGTGTGGTAAAAATGTGAAACTAGAAATTAAATCCAGAGTAAAGAAGACAGTTCATGTTTATTAGGGTAAATTATAAGTGGCTCAGTGGCTTAATGACATTGGAGATGATTTCTGCTCCAGTGGTTCGAGTCCTAACATTGCCTGTCGGGGTGAGCTCCTGTCGCTTGTCTCAGCTTCTGTCCACCAACAGTTCGAAAGCATGTTCTGTGTGAGTAGATAAAGTAGATTCCACTTCAGGGGGGGGCGGGGGGCGGAATGAGCTGGTGCTCAGTGAAGGTAGTCAGATTCCTGCTCTCTGAACCTTCCCAGTTGGGATGCTTGTTGGCGGGGCAGCTCCGGGAGGGAGCAGCGGGCCTTGGATGACACTGCAGGAAGAGCTGCTTGCCTTTCTTTCTGGTGCAAAGCCAGATCGCCCCCTTGTGGTGTACCATGGGAAGTGCGTGAGTGTTTCCTGCAACAGAGCTGGTACCTTAGCAGCCAAGCTACTGTTTTGCAGTTGCATTGTGGTCTCCTGGCTAATGTAGCAATGCCTTACAGCAATAATAGTAATAATAATAACTCTGGAGACTCTGGCATAAACCAGTGCAGGTGGTTCCAGTGGTACTCCGCACACTGGGTGCTGTGCCTAAAGACCTAGGCAAACACTTAAAAAACAATTGGTGCTGGCAAAATCACCATTGGTCAGCTGCAGAAGGCCACCTTACTGGGATCTGCTTGCGGAATCCGCCGATATATCACGCAGTCCTAAACCCTTGGGAAGTGTTCAACTAGTGATAACAGCATGGTTATCTAGTTTGCTGTGTATACTGTCATTTTTGTGTATAATGATGATGATAATAATAATAATAATAATAATGCAAGTTATTATCATCCAAAAATATTTAGGTTGGGGAAAATTTAGGAGAAGAGTTGCTGTCTCCCAAATCCCCACCTACTCCTTCATTGGCTTAAATCAATGTCATGATGTATTTCGCATTTGTGATACCACAAAGAAAGTTATTTTGCTCGTTTTGCCTTAGCTTTGACTTCCCCCAAAGGGCTGTTTGTAATCTGCTATGTCTTTGGCCTCCTAATTTCTCACTCACTGTTTGCTGCATTTCTAAACAGGCCTTCTGCGATGACGCCACAGGATTAAAGTTTTACCCTGTCCTCTATCCCAAGGTGAGCTAAGCCGTGATGCCAAAACTTAATTCCGGAAGGAAATTGATGTGCAGAATTAAACTATGCTAGAAGACCTCCAAGGTCCCTTTTCAGCCCTCTGATTCTATGAAATGCATGCATGCAGGTTTATCCAGTGGTGGGATTCAAATTTTTTTACTACTGGTTCAGTGGCCATGGCTTGGTGGGCGGGCGTGGCTTGATGGGCATGGCTTGGTGGGCATGGCAGGGGAAGGATACTGCAAAATCCTCATTCCCTCCCCACTCCTGGGGGAAAGTTACTGCAAAATCCCCATTCCCTCCCCATCCCACTAACCTGCTTTCCAGCTCCATTGTCCTGTGCAGGGCAACAAAAGAATATCCAGCCAATCAGCTGGGACTCAGGAGGCAGAGAATAGATGGGGGCGGGGCCAGTCAGAGGTGGTATTTGCCGGTTCTCCAAACTATTCAAAATTTCTGCTACCGATCCTCCAGAACTGGTCACAACCTGCTGAATAGCACTTCTGGGTTTATCTCTGTAGAACCGAAATACACCAATTTGAGAGATAGCTTCCCTAATTATAAATATCTAGCGAGGCATGAAAATGGCCAGGAGAGAGATTATCATCAATTTGCACCATATGCCTCGGAATTGTCACTTGGGATTCATAATACATCCCCTAGGCATTCGAGAAGAGAATGCAATTAGATTAGAGTTGGATTGGTTTACCTGCTTATTCGGACTTCTTCTTGACCACAACCCCAGAAAAAAAATTGAATCTGAACCTAAACGAACTCTGTAGGAAGAGGATGGTTATCATAAAAGCAGGCTAAAGAATCTGATGAGTGGAATTAGTGAAAACGTGGACGGCCTCAGGGGTGGGATTCTACCAGTTTGGGAAAACCAGATGTTAAAGTTTCCTCTGGTTCACCGAACCGGTATTACAACCGACTGGCTGGCCCCGCTCACCCTGCCTCACCCCTCCCAGGAGTCTCTATGCAGCCCATTTTTGATGGAGGTAAGTGCAGGGTCCGCTGGAGGCTCTGGGAGGGGAAAAAACGGGCCTTCCGGAAGTCCGTAAACGGATCTATTTCCAGCTTCCAGAGGGCCTCCAGAGTCCAGGGAAGGCTGTTTTCGCCCTCCCCCGGGCTCTGGAGGCCCACCAGAAGCTGGAAACAGCACGTTCTGGTAGGCCACGCCCACCGTGTCCACACCCACCCAATAACTGGGCAATGAACCCAGTTTTTTTGAATCCCACCCCTGGATGGCCTTGTTCTACTTTTTGCAGGTACGTGACAGAAACTAAGGATCGACAGAAACATTAGAATTGATTCTATGTTTTGGGGAGATCAGACATCTAAAAATGTTGAGCAAAGCCATTTTTGACTGCTCAGCTCTACTGATGGGACTTGGTCAGAAGTTTCCAGGCCAGGTATTGCAAAAGGGGTTTGAATAGCTACAGAGAAGGATGTTACAATGATGGATGGAGAGGCATAATCGAGAAGGGAGCAGTAATTTCTTTCTTTTACAAATTATTCTGTGACGCCTTCCTCTTTCCTTCTATTTCAGGCATCGCAGCTGATCGTATCCTATGATGAACATGAACTTAACAACACGTTCAAGTTTGGGGTGATTTACCAGAAGTTTAAGCAAGTGAGTGACTATTTTATGGGAGCAATAATATTTCTGTGGTTCTGATGGTGATTTTGACAGTTTAGAGAAACTTTTAAATATGTAGAGTTCAATAATTCTGTGGTTAAAAAAATGATTATATACTATAAATGTTTACACACACACATACACGCACATGTATATGTGTGAATAATTGTATTAGATAACTATGTAGAATTGTAACTACTGCTAAAATGATATACTTTTTTTCTTTGTTGGTTTTCCCCCTACTTTTTTAAAATCCGCTTTTTATATGCCTTATATGCATTTGACAATGTGTACATTTTTATCTTTGTGGTGGTTGTTTGGTTTTTTTGTCATTATTTTAAAAAGCAATAAAAGAGTAAACAAGAGCCAATAAAAAAGAGCTTGGAGAATTTCTTGATCCAGTTTCACCTTTGCTGTTGCAAAAAAGAATAATCACCCTTCTGAACATCTTTTCTCTCCCTCTCCCTCTCTCTCCCTCTTTCCTTCTCTCCCTCTCTCCCTCCCTCCCTGTGTGTGACTTTCCCTCCCTCCTACCATCCCCCCCTTCTCGTAAACAGTTAGTGACAATAGTTATTTAGAGAGGAAGTTGATTACCTCTCACCGTAACAGGAATAATCTTTTGCAAAATTTAGTTTTGTAGTTTCAAAATAAAGATGAGTTCTGTCATTTTTGTTTGGAATTTTCAGACACAGGAAGAAGAATTGTTTGGGAACAATGAAGAAAGTCCTGCCTTCAAAAACTTCTTGAACTTGTTGGGAGAAACCATTACACTACAGGATTTCAAGGGGTAAATTAAGCTATTAATCATTCACATGGCTTTTTCCTACCTTCCTTCCTTCCTTCCTTCCTTCCTTCCTTCCTTCCTTCCTTCCTTCCTGCCTGCCTGCCTGCCTGCCTGCCTGCCTGCCTGCCTGTCGATAAGTTAAGCTATTAATCATTCACATGGTTTTTTCCTTCCTTCCTTCCTTCCTTCCTTCCTTCCTTCCTTCCTTCCTTC